AGTGTGTGTTGACAAAGTGTGTGTTGACAATGTGTGGTGACAAAGTGTGTGGTGACAAAGTGTATGTGTGGACAAAGTGTGTGTTGACAATGTGTGGTGACAAAGTGTGTGGTGACAAAGTGTGTGTGGACAAGTGTGTGGTGACAAAGTGTGGAGGAGGGCGGAGGAGGCCACGCCTGCCACGCAAAGAGGCGCGGCGCCCCAGGCGACAAATCCGGACCAAGCGCGCCACACAGTACCATGAGTGCCACGCCTGCCACGCAAAACGACGGTGGATGTGAGTTTGTGCCACGCCTGCCACGTGAAACGAAGGTGGGTGTGAGTTTGTGCCACGCCTGCCACGCAAAGTGCCGCGGCGTCACGGGCGCCCAAGCCAGTCCAAGCGCGCCACCCAGTGCCATCTGTCCCACGCCTGCCACGCAAAACGACGGTGGATGTGAGTTTGTGCCACGCCTGCCACGCAAACCGACAGTAGATGTGAGTTTGTGCCACGCCTGCCACGCAAAGTGCCGCGGCGTCACAGGCGCCCAAGCCAGTCCAAGCGCGCCACCCAGTGCCATGAGTGCCACGCCTGCCACGCAAAACGAAGGTAGATGTGAGCTTGTGCCACGCCTGCCACGTGAAACGAAGGTGGATGTCAGGTTGTGCCACGCCTGCCACGTGAAACGAAGGTGGATGTGAGGTTGTGCCACGCCTGCCACGCAAAGTGGCGCGGCGCCCCAGGCGCCAAATCCCGGCCCAAGGGCGCCACCCAGTACCATCTGTCCCACGCCTGCCACGCAAAACGACGGCAGATGTGAGTTTGTGCCACGCCTGCCACGTGAAACGAAGGTGGATGTGAGGTTGTGCCACGCCTGCCACGCAAAGTGGCGCGGCGCCCCAGGCGCCAAATCCCGGCCCAAGGGCGCCACCCAGTACCATCTGTCCCACGCCTGCCACGCAAAACGACAGCAGATGTCAGTTTGTGCCACGCCTGCCACGTGAAACGAAGGTGGATGTCAAGTTGTGCCACGCAAAACGACGGCAGATGTCAGTTTGTGCCACGCCTGCCACGTGAAACGAAGGTGGATGTGAGGTTGTGCCACGCCTGCCACGCAAAGTGGCGCGGCGCCCCAGGCGCCAAATCCCGGCCCAAGGGCGCCACCCAGTACCGTCTGTCCCACGCCTGCCACGCAAAACGACGGCAGATGTCAGTTTGTGCCACGCCTGCCACGTGAAACGAAGGTGGATGTCAAGTTGTGCCACGCCTGCCACGCAAAGTGGCGCGGCGCCCCAGGCACCAAATCCCGGCCCAAGGGCGCCACCCAGTACCATCTGTCCCACGCCTGCCACGCAAAACGACGGCAGATGTCAGTTTGTGCCACGCCTGCCACGTGAAACGAAGGTGGATGTCAGGTTGTGCCACGCCTGCCACGCAAAGTGCCGCGGCGCCCCAGGCGCCAAATCCCGGCCCAAGGGCGCCACCCAGTACCATCTGTCCCACACCTGCCACGCAAAACGAAGGTGGATGTGAGGTTGTGCCACGCCTGCCACGCAAAGTGGCGCAACGTGTGTGGTGACAAAGTGTGTGGTGACAAAGTGTGTGTTGACAAAGTGTTTGTTGATAAAGTGTGTGTGGACAAAGTGTGTGGTGACAAAGTGTGTGTGGACAAAGTGTGTGTGGACAAAGTGTTTGGTGACAAAGTGTGTGTGGACAAAGTGTGTGGTGACAAAGTGTGTGTGGACAAAGTGTGTGTGGACAAAGTGTTTGGTGACAAAGTGTGTGTGGACAAAGTGTGTGGTGACAAAGTGTGTGTGGACAAAGTGTGTGTGGACAAAGTGTGTGTGGACAAAGTGTGTGTGGACAAAGTGTGTGTGGACAAAGTGTTTGGTGACAAAGTGTGTGTGGACAAAGTGTGTGTGGACAAAGTGTGTGTGTGGACAAAGTGTGTGTGGACAAAGTGTGTGTGGACAAAGTGTTTGGTGACAAAGTGTGTGTGGACAAAGTGTGTGGTGACAAAGTGTGTGTGGACAAAGTGTGTGGGGACAAAGTGTTTGGTGACAAAGTGTGTGTTGACAAAGTGTGTGTTGATAAAGTGTGTTCACAAAGTGTGTGGTGACAAAGTGTGTGTGGACAAAGTGTGTGTGGACAAAGTGTGTGTGGACAAAGTGTTTGGTGACAAAGTGTGTGTGGACAAAGTGTGTGGTGACAAAGTGTGTGTGGACAAAGTGTGTGTGGACAAAGTGTTTGGTGACAAAGTGTGTGTTGACAAAGTGTGTGTTGACAATGTGTGGTGACAAAGTGTGTGGTGACAAAGTGTGTGTGGACAAAGTGTGTGTTGACAATGTGTGGGGACAAAGTGTGTGGTGACAAAGTGTGTGTGGACAAGTGTGTGGTGACAAAGTGTGGAGGAGGGCGGAGGAGGAGAAGGCGGAGGAGGAGCCCGGGATACAGAATCAAAAACAAGAACCCCACACAAAGATGTGGGGAATAAATAGTGGAAAAAACGGGAAATAAATAGGGAATAAAATAGGGAAATAAATAGGGGAATAAATACGGAAATAAATAGGGAAATAAATAGGGAAATAAATAGGGAAATAAATAGGGAAATAAATAGGGAAATAAATAGGGAAATAACTAGGGAAATAACTAGGGAAATAATTAGGGAAATAACTAGGGAAAAAGCTAGGGAAATAACTAGGGAAATAACTAGGGAAATAACTAGGGAAATAACTAGGGAAATAACTAGGGAAATAACTAGGGAAATAAATAGGGAAATAAATAGGGAAATAAATAGGGAAATAAATAGGGACATAAATAGGGAAATAAATAGGGAAATAAATAGTGAAAAACATAGGGAAATAAATGGGGAAATAAATAGGGAGAAAAAATAGGGAAAAAAATAGGGAAAAAATAAGGAAAAAGTAGGGAAATAAATAGGGAAAAAAATAGGGAAATAAATAGGGGAAAGAATAGGGAAAATAAATAGGGAAAAAATAGGGAACAAAAATAAGGAAATAAATAGGGAAATAAATAGGGAAATAAATAGGGAAATAAATAGGGAAAATAAATAGGGAAAAAATAGGGAACAAAAATAAGGAAATAAATAAGGAAAAAAATAGGGAACAAAATAGGGGGAAAAAAAGGGGAAATAAATAGGGAAATAAATAGGGCAATAAATAGGGAAATAAATAGGTAAATAAATAGGGAAATAAATAGGGAAATAAATAGGGAAATAAATAGGGAAATAAATAGGGAAATAAATAGGGAAATAAATAGGAAAATAAATAGGGAAATACATAGGGAAATACATAGGGAAATAAATAGGGAAATGGATAGGGAAATAAATAGGGAAATAAATAGGGAAATAAATAGGGAAATAAATAGGGAAATAACTAAGGAAATAAATAGGGAATAAATAGGGAATAAATAGGGAAATAAATAGGTAAATAAATAGGGAAATAAATAGGGAAATAAATAGGGAAATAAATAGGAAAATAAATAGTGAAAAACATAGGGAAATAAATAGGGAAATAAATAGGGAGAAAAAATAGGGAAATAAATAGGGAAATAAATAGGGAAATAAATAGTGAAAAAAACAGGGAAAAAATAGGGGACAAAATCGGAAAATAAATAGGGAAATAAACAGGGAAATAAATAGGGAAATAAATAGGGAAATAAATAGGGAAATAAATAGGGAAAACAATAGGGAAATAAATAGGGAAATAAATAGGGATAAAAATAGGGAAATAAATAGGGAAATAAATAGGGAAATAAATAGGGAAATAAATAGGGAAATAAATAGGGAAAGAAATAAATAGGGAAATAAATAGGGAAAAAAATAGGGAAATAAATAGGGAAATAAATAGGGAAATAAATAGGGAAATAAATAGGGAAATAAATAGGGAAATAAATAGGGAAATAAATAGGGGAATAAATAGGGAAATAAATAGGGAAATGAATAGGGGAAAAATAGGGAAAAAAATAAGAAAAAAATAGGGAAATAAATAGGGAAATAAATAGGGAAAAAATAGGGAAATAAATAGGGAAAAAACTAGGGAAATCAATAGGGAAATCAATAGGGAAATAAATAGGGAAATAAATACGGAAATAAATAGGGAAATAGATAGGGAAATAAATAGGGAAATAAATGCGGAAATACATAGGGAAATAAATAGGGAAATAAATAGGGGAATAAATAGGGAAATAAATAGGGAAAAATTTAGGGAAATAAATAGGGAAATAAATAGGGAAATAAATAGGGACATAAATAGGGAAATAGATAGGGAAATAAATAGGGAAATAAATAGGGAAATACATAGGGAAATAAATAGGGAAATAAATAGGGGAATAAATAGGGAAATAAATAGGGAAATAAATTGGGCAATAAATAGGGAAATAAATAGGGAAATAAATAGGGAAATAAATAGGGAAAAAAATAGGGAAAAAAATAGGGAAATAAATAGGGAAAAAACATAGGGAAATAAATAGGGAAATAAATAGGGAAATAAATAGGGAAATAAATAGGGGAATAAATAGGGAAATAAATAGGGAAATCCATTGGGAAAAAAGAGGAAATAAATAGGGAAAGAAATAAATAGGGAAATAAATAGGGAAAAA